AAGGAAATCCGGTTTGGTGGAAACGAAAAAAACCCCCAAAAAGAAGGGAAAAAATTTGTTATTAAGAACGCCAAAATTTATGTTTCGGCCCCCTTGTTTCCCGATCAGGGCCCCACACATTTTATTACTTCCCCTTTTGGGCCATTTGCCACTTTTCATGTACTTGCTTTAAAAAAAGCCACTTGCTGGATGGCCTCAAATTTTTAACACATCTGCGAATTTTTTCAAAAATTCAAATTTTTTTATTTTATGCTAAAAATTTAAATTTTCCTTGAGGAGGGCTTGGGGGCGGGAAAGGTAGCTTTCCCCTTTTTTAGTACCAAACAAACCGACATGCTCAAAACAAACCAAGTTGGGGAACATTTAAAATTTATGTTTATTGGAAAATTCTTTTAAAGGGGGTTTTATTTTTTTCCCTTTTTCATACCCGTAACTTATAAACCCGACCGCATTGTTTAGAATAAATAAAGCTCAAAACGACAAGGGAGAAAAGATTTTTTAAAGGGGTTTTTTTTCGCCCCCGGAAAAGCCCAAAATTGGGGGGACCGTAAAACTTAGTCAGGCCCTCCAGAGCGTCCCGCCCAATTTTTTTGGGGGGGATTTTTTTTCCCCGCTTTTTTTGGGGGAAAAGGGAAAACCCCCAAAAGGAAAACCCCGCTTGGCAAAATTTTTTCCCGGCACGAGCGGGCACCTGGGTAGAAAACCCCCAAGACCTTCCGTTTAAGTCAGGCTGGATGGCTTTTCCCCACAAAGAAAGATTTTTATAGATTTAGAAAAAGAATGAAAATGGGAAAACTTTAAGAAAACACAATATGGGGCCCCCTTAAGCTCGGGGTTTGATTTTTGTTATTTTTTGAAGCAGCAGTGATATATGCAAAACTTCTAAAACGTCCTCCTAGCAAAATTCAGTAATTTTAAAGAAAAACTTTTAAATGAAATTAAAAATATGAAATTTTAAAAATTTTTAAAAATCCGTAGGGGCAAGTTCATAAGAAAGGTAATCAAGGGGTCTTTAAGTAACCAAATTTCGCCACTTCCCTAAAAAACAGTGAATGGGCCCAAGAAATAATGCGTGTTTGCCCTTTAAAATGAAAAAATTTTGTTTTAACTAAAAAATTGAAAAATTTTTTAAAAAAAAGGGTTTTGAAGTCTTAAAATCAGATAAAAAACCCCCAAAAGGGGAAATCTTAAGTCCCGGCACCAATCCTTAAAGGGTTTAATTTTAGTATTCCCGAAAAGGGAAAACTAAAAACAACCCCAAAGGGAAAAAAGTCAAAAACTATTGGGGAACAAGCAAAAGTTATTGTGCTGAAAGATTTTTAAGGTCCCAAAATTTAAACCCCAGATTGAAACCCAAACTGTCAGGAAACGAGGAAAGCAATTTTTTGTTGGGCCAAAACTATACAGTCCCGGCCGTAAATCTGATTTTTAAACCCCTTTTTCCCAAAGTATGGGAAATTTTTAAAACTTATTTTTGCTTTAATAGTGGAAAAAAAAACACATAACATAGCCCGTGGATCTGAAGAAAACAGCGAACTAAAGTACCCTTTTAAGAAAAGCAAATTTAAAAACTAAAATTTTCCCCCCCCCGGGGGGGCGGGTTTCTTGTGTGAAAAAATTGTTTGTTTTTAAAAACGACTTTTTGAAACAGAATGTATTAGTGGGATAATATCAAGAAAGTATGGGATTTCTGTGAAGTAAATTATAGCTTAAACATGTTTTTTAAATATTTTGGGTGTTTTGTGTGAGTAACATTCACCCAAATTTTTGCTAAAATTATTTATTATGATTGCTAAATTTCAAAAAATGACAAAAAAGGCTTTTTACCTTTGTTTAAATTTAAAAAATGATGATGTGTTTATATTTACAACTACACTTCTACAAAAGGGGATCAAAAAGAGCATCGTGGTTCTTTATTAATATAAGTGTGTCTTTTGAAATTTTTAAAAGCACTTTTTCTTAAGTGTAATTATGATCAAAAATTTTTTATTCTTTAAAAAAGGGACCCTTTTTGCCTAAAAAACCCAAAAAAATTTAAAAAATGCTTTTAAAAAGAAAGGTTTGATGTTTGTTACCGTAAAAAAATGTAAAAACATCTAAAAACTTTTAGTAAAAAGTAGCAAAATGGAGCCAAGTAATATTTTTTTAAATTTTCCCTTAAAACAAAAAACTTAATTTACAACAACTATACCCCTTTTTGCCCAAAAAAGTAAACAGATAAAATAGTTCAAAGGGGACTGGCCACTGAGTTTTAACCCATATTGGGTAACCCAAAAAAATAACAAATTTTAAAAAAAAAAACTTTTTGAGAAAGGAAAAATAAAAGCTTTTCTGAGGGGCATAATGGGGCCCTTTTAGAAAAAAACATTAATGAAAAGGGGTTATAAAATGTAAACAAAAATTAATAAAATTAAAATTTTTTTTTTTTAGAAAGAACGTTTAAAAAAATGTTTCCCGCTCCCTAAGAATTTTGTTTTGATTTCAAAAAATTAAACTGCAATTTAAAAAAAGGGGTTTTAAAACCAAAAAAATGGGCTTTGCCCAGGTAAAACTGTTTTAAAAATAATGTATTTATAATAATTGTCAGAAAAGGGCAAAACATGACTATTTAACATTAAAAAAGTAAAAAACGTGTTCATTAAGGGGACTTTTAAATTTTGAAAGTGTTTTTTTTCGGGCCCGTTTTCTTTTTTTAAAATCTATTTCCCCCTGTAATACATTATCCCTTGGGAATGATTTTTTTTGCCCAAAGGTAATAAAAACTTTTAAACAGCTAAAAAAAAAATCTAGGCACAAAAAATCTCCTTTTTGTCAAAAAAATATACTTAAAAAGGGAAAAAATGCAAAAAAAATGTGTTTTTTTTACCTGTTAAATTTGTGTTTAAAAATTTTGTAACTGAAGGTTTTCTAAAGACTGAGTTTCTTTTCTTCTTTTTAAAAAGTAAAAATAAATTAATTTTAAAATCTTACCCCCCAAATTCAATTAATAATGGTTATTGCACTAAAAATTTTAAAAATATGGGCAAAATTTTGGGGGAAACTTTTTTTAATTTTGCACCCGGGGCTTTCTTGGTGTTATTTTTTCCCCACCCACACTTTGAAGTTGTACTCTTTTTTATAAATGCGTCAGGTAAAAAATTTGTATTTCTTAAAAGTTTCAAAAAAAAGGGTTTAAATTTAATTAAAAGAACATTACAAATTTTAAAAACAATTTCCTATAAGGATTAAATTGAAAAATTTTAATGTAAAAGGGGATGTTTTGGGAACACTGGGAAAATTTTTAAAAATTTTTTTTGGTAATTTTACCCCCACTCACTTTTGAAGCTCTACTCTTACATATTTAAAACCAGATAATGATTTTTTTAAAGGGTTAACTTGTCTAGCTAAAGTTAAATTTTTTTAAAATCAAAACAACAATTTCAAAGCAATTTCCATTTATATTTTTTTAAAACGGAAAAAAAGAAAGTCATCAATTAAACAAAAAAAAGGGATTTTTACCCTTTTTTTGGTTTAAAATTTATAAATGATAAGTTTTAAAAATTTCCAAAGTAATTGTTTTTTAAATTTTGCTTGATTTGGGTAAAAATAAATTTTAAACCATATTTTTAAACCTGATATTGTGGGCAATTAAAATAGCATTGTACAAAATCTGTATGTAAAAAATCAAGAAAACAAGAATTATATGGTAATTTTTTTGTAATTTATGGGCGGCATAAATTGGCGGCCATTTCTTGAAAAAATAACTTTTGCCCGGGCTGCGTAAACTTAAGAAATGGGTTTTTTGCAACTATAAACAATATACTTTATAACGGCAATGTTTTTTTTGGTGATACGGTAAATTGCAATAAAACCCCGCCATCTCTTGGACTATATTCATCAGGCTTCGCAATATTAACATTTTAATATAAAACATCCCTTGAAATACATAATGAACAGTTCCAAATGCAAAGCTGGGGAAGTCCATTTCACAAATTCAGCTAGATCAGGGTCTTTAAAATGTTACCTTCCATTTCTCATCTAACTAGCAGCCACTTTTATTGACATTGGGAGAGATAAAATAATCAGTTTTCACGACGTAATTGTTTTCGAATCAGACAATTACCTAATAAAATCTTTATAAAGAGATGTCTGATGTTGTTTAATGAATGCTGCAATTCTTTATTTCGCAAGTTTTTTTTCTTGCCTCGTGTTTGTATCAAGTTATATCTAATCATGTGTCAGTGTCTAATGAAAACCTAAAAACTTCCCTGGATTATGTGCCTTTAATGACGTACTATTTTCAATCCTTTTATTAGTATCATTATTTATCAACCGATATCAAATTATTTCAGTAACAAATAAAAAATATTCCTTTACGTCATAATATTTCTGATCCATCTGCAACAATGAATATAGGCACTGAACAGGTTTTAAAACTCATAAGCCCAACAGCAACAGAGTTGTTACTTCCACCCATACCGTACTGAATTTGTGAAATGGATGTCCAATTTTTTTTTTTTTTTTTTTTAAATTTTGAATTGTCTATTGAGCAACCAGTGCAAAGCATCTGGTCAAAATGCATGCATGAACAGGTTAATCTTGCTTAATCTAGCTTTAAACTGTTTACAAACACATTATAAAAGCTGCCAGTTCTCAAGCTCCTTATATAAAATAAAACGATAATAGAACCTTTGCAACTTACTACCTAAATCAGATATTTTTCTCAATGTGTCCTATCTTCATTAAATAATTTGTGATCATGATGGAACCAGTTTTTACATACTGCTAGCAAAGCGTTCTGTCCTTATGAGCCTTAACTCCACAAGATATTTTAAATGGACTTGTCCATCTTCCAATCTGAACAAATCTAAATAGCCAACAATTCAGACTATGAACAGATGGCACAGAATGATAATCTTGAACTGGACAAATGATCTTGGTCAACACACTGGTCACATGGCTGAAGGTTATAAACTACAGTGGGCAATGGAAACTGTTGAAAGGGTGCAAGGAGGAACTACATCTCAAACACAGGGTCAGTTTCATTAATGAATATGTTACTAAATATAGATGGTGGGCAATGTGTAACTCACCTCTGTCACTGTCACCTTGTACCACATGGCATTCAAACACATGTATACCAATAACATGGTCAAGCACACGGTGAGTCGCTCTGTCCTCATAAAACCACCATAAGGTGGGCATGTAAGGAGTGACATCCAGATGTGGAAATCGGCCATGTATTGTACGACCTTGCTAGGTAATGCCTGAAATAGATAGTAAAATATGAGAGCAAAGTTCACACAACACAGCCCATTCATTTTTTTCTGACTTCATGATGAGTCATCTAGTCTCCTTACATAAATGTACTTTCAGGCACAAAGGTAGAACCATCAAAACATCCTTTTCAAAATAAACATGGTAGCTTCCTCAAATGAAAATTAATGTTTAAACCAGAATTTGATACTACAGTTTGGAAAAAATACTAGTAATTTCCACTGAAACACATAAATTGACCAAAAGATCAGTTAAACAGACTTACTCCATCAAGAATCAAGAACATTTTTGGTTTATTCCAGCTAATCTGTAGGTACAAGCAAACTTTAACAGTTACAGCTTTGAAAATAAGCGCAACAGGTTGACTAATCTATTGTACCCAGTAGTGCACTGAGAACCTATAAGGGTTAAAGTTTGTTTGAACCAGGGGATAAGCTTAGAAAAAGCTGCATTTGCCGAGTTACTTATAAAATCTATTACATTCAAATGAGCCAACTATGACTTTCATCATGCTCACTTGTGTGTTCATTACAAAACATATAAATCTTACAAGTGACTATACTAACCTTTTTAAACTGAAGAGTTCCATCAAGAACCATAAACTCTCTCTCCACTTTACCATCTTGTTCTTCCACTGCTAACCTTTTCTCACAAATGAATATATACTGGTTCCCTGGGAAAAGTTATGAAGGTTTATGATAAATATATACTTGTTCCTGGGAAAAAGTTGTAAAAATAAATACTGGTTCCAAGAAATAAGTTATGAAGGTTTAATGGTAAATTATAAAATATATACTAGTTCCCTGGAAAAAGTTATAAGGATTTATGGTAAATATATACTAGTTCTCTGGGAAAAATTTATATTACATAAATACTGGTTCCAAGAAATAAGTTATGAAGGTTTAATGGTAAATTATAAAATATATACTGGTTCCCTGGAAAAAGTTATAAGGGTTTATGGTAAATATATACTGGTTCTCGGGGAAAAAGTTATATTACATAAATACTGGTTCCCAGAAATAAGTTATGAAGGTTTAATGGTAAATTCTAAAATATATACTGGTTCCCTGGAAAAAGTTACAAAGGTTTATGGTAAATATATACTGGTTATCAGATAATATAGAAATATACAAAGAAATACATTAAATACTTTTCATTTTCAAGTCAAATGCAAAAAAAAATTTTATTCTGGAAAAAAATTAGTGAGCCAATGATCCGTAATTTTACATACAACCAACATCAAATGGCATAAAAGTCTTGAATTTATTTTGCCAATACTGTCATGTCAAAAAACCCTCAGTTCCTTTTAAGTACAAAAGTTTTATATTTTTAAAACAATTTCAAGATTAAAATCGATACAAAGTCATGAAAGATTAATTCCTCTCTCACAAAAACTTCCTACAACATTTTTTTTTCACCACTACCCACATGTCTAGACCGATTGATATTACACACCTGTATTTAAATCCCTCACGATCACACGGTTAAGGTACCAACTTGGTGACGGTCCAAGATTGTTGTGCCAAATTTGTACTTTCCATATACGCCCAATGCTGTCTGGTAACCTAGAAAAATTGGAAAGAAATTTTAACATCTCGTTTTTTCTTCTGGTGAAAAATAAAACCACTTTTTATGCCCTTGAGTATGGTTTTTTTAAAAATACTTCAATACAAAATCTAATAAAGAACATAATTTTACAATATTGCCTTTGATGGCCAATTCTCTTTGTTTTAAAAAAAAAGACAATATTTTAAACATAATATACATAACATTCATGTAAGGAAAGTACACAGTTTACGATGATACAAAATTGTTCTGTTCAAGTCTGACTTTCTGGGTTTGTATTTGCAGTCTTAAAAGATTTGACCTGAACGATAGTTAAGTCAAAAAAAGTGGAAGGAGACCTAAGATAACCCCTCTGTGTATCAGAGGCACAAGTCGGAACACGAGTAAAACCACAGAACTTTTCTTCCCAAATTATCTAGTTATTGTAATTAGGTTACCCATGAATCAGTGATACTTCAATCAGTATACAAGAACTTGCAAGAAATTCAAAACTCTTTCACGTCAAAATCATCCGGATATAAAAGCAAGGATCGTTTAACAACTAAGTAACAGGATATGCATTATAACAAATGACTCATATTTTATAGTTTTTTCATGCCTAGATCTTCTTCCTTAAATTGCCTGCTTTTTTTTTTAAAGCAGCATTTCTAAATCGGTTGTGTTTCAATTCCGCAGTATTATCGATTCACATCTTGGGGGTATACTTAGCTAGCATTTAAACTCGGAGATTTTTGACGTAAAATTTAATGGAACTTATGTCAGGCCTAGAGACAGGAATCTCGACTGCCAGTTGGAAATAAACCAAAATCTTCTTCAGCAGAATATAATAATAATCTGTTACAATTTCTAAAGTACAGAACTGTTGGTTTTTTATTTCTCTAATCACCAACTTTAACAATTTTGCATAAAAAATAACTTTAACTTTGCATATCATATCTATCTACAACTTTAACAATATCCTAATCTAAGAATAAAACATGAGTTAAACTTCACAAATATATATATTTATATATATAAATACATCTCAATTATTTTAGCATAAAATATTATATATGTAAAACTTTGTACAAAATACCAATCATAAATTCACTTTAAATATTCCTCTTTAGTAACATAAAATGTCTATCTTTACATGTTTAAAATGGATATCACTTTTTCCTTGCATAAAACTCGTATTTGCATCTTGGAATAAAATTTCCATTTATTACAGCATATACTTCCATATATTCATTTTTTTTGCAATTTTTTATGTGAATTCTTACAGAGCAAAATTTCATTCATAGACTTTGAATTAGGAATTATCCATTGTTATTTCAAATTGAATGGGACAACATTAGGATCTAATCAGGGGGTGGGGCTTAATGAATGTTCACAAAATATATGTTTGATAGACAAAAATATTTATCCAAAATCAGAAATTAATTTTTAGTCCATTCCTTTAACACTATTTACTAAAAGAAATTAATTCTAAGTCCATTCCAGCTACACTATAATTATACTAATATATATACTTTGGATAAATATCCTTGGTCATCTAACATACATTTTGTGAGCATTCAATGACTCATACCCCCGTGATTCTAATGAGACTGTATGGATTTGCAGGCTGGCCTAACACTTTGCACTAGCCATAGACGAATCTTCAATATGGCTAGCATAAATACTTGCATTATCTTGTACACCGCTAAATCATCTTGAATGGACATGTATATCTTTCAATTTCACTAAGCCATTCATCTTACTTTCAATGATTTTTTCCCAAAGATGTTCAGATTGAATAGCAAACAGTTACATGTAAGACCATGATCCGAAAGGACTGCAAAGAAGTGTTAGATGATATTGGTCTGCACTGGTTGCATAAATAGTATCAGTTACAGTGAAAAGTGCCAATTGATCTTCGTCTGCACTGGTAGGCACGGGTAGAACCAGTTGCCGCCACCAGGCTACTGATTTATTATTCAGTTAAAACTTCGGAGATAAACTTACGAGAGTATGAACTTGTCTCGGGAATTTCTCTCGAACATCGGTCGGTCATCCTCACTTATCAGTTCACGCGTCTCCGACATGCCTTCTTCACCATGCAGAATTATACTGATCTGTGGCAAAAAATAAATCAGTAAGTTCATAAACACAACAACAATTACAGAAATATGATCTCTGAGGTACTACAAGGTAGATAAGCCTACTAAGGGCATATAACTTTTGTTGACTGTCACCAGATTCAACTTAACCTGTTTTATCACACACCCGTGCCGATTTTGCGACTCCGTAAATATGGTATTGCACGGCCGTGCATATATTTTGACGTGACGTCATTAGCGTTATACAAACATAGTGTAAAGACGCGCTAAATGTTGGCGTTATACTATAGGCGCGTCAATGAAAAATGACTCTTATTTCAGTTTAAACGGTCTTTATTTTGGGTATGTGATAAATAGAATATTAAATTCGTGTAAGGTCATAACTGAATTTATTGCACTCGTTGACTAAAATAATATTATGCTCGCCAGAGGCTCGCATAATATAATTTTATTCAACTCATGCAATAAATTCAGTATTGAACTTACACTCATTCAATATCCTCTATATATTACCTACCTACCAAATATCAGTATATGACAAAGTTTCAGAACTTGTCATGCTGGTACAATTTTTTCTTAGACAAATTAACAGGGCCAATACATGTCCACGATACATCCTAATGATACCTTCGGCATATAAATACATATCATGTTATGATCCATAACTAATGAAAAGTGATGTTAGAAACATTCAGTTTCATAAGAATATTATTTAACTGTTTCAATAAAACAATGAAAATGGATATTAAAAATGTAAAGCATCATAACGCTAATATAACCATCATGATTATCCCATGAAAATCATTGTAATAAACGTGCAATACAAAGCCTACATTTTTATATAACATTATTCTCTTATTGGCCATACACACTTATCTTCATTAAACATTGGGCTATTCCTGGAGAAATTTACCGCAGTATAAAACACCGCTTCTATTTTAGACATAAGCTGAGACACATTCTCTAATTACCTGGTATTGTCAATTCTGTCTCATTAATTTTATTTACATCTTATTTTCGCAGGTTATGAAATGAAGATAAACTATAACACATTAAGGTGGTATATAATATAAATCAGGTATCATCTGTTGTTTGTTTTTATTATACAATATTTATTGGTTTACACAAATATTACAATGAATTACATCTTCATTATTTCACACTGATACAAAATGTATTATCAAGATGAAACACAACTGTAGCCAAACTTTTTACAAATTTATATATGAATAAAAGAAGGTAAATTTCAGAGAAAAACAAAAAACGCTCCAATTTTAGCAAACCTATACATGGGCTAGCTAAAGGAAAATAAAAAATTTGAGCAATTAATACTACTAAAATGCTATAAAAACATAAAAATCTTGTGGGTCAAGACTTCTGTCATAATGATTTAAATATGGCGTAAATGAAAGCTTGTGTCATTGCTACTATTAAGGATAATTTGCTGTCAGTTCTTTCATCAAAGATTGCAAGTACCTTAGCTGTTGTACCGGCCCCATTCCACAGGCCTGTTTCTACAGTGATCTCAAACTTCTGCTGGTCCATGGGCGAGTTGTCGAGGAGGTAAACTATTCCACCCTTCCTGTTGTCATAGAGATCGGCACGGTAACACCAGAAGAACAGTAGACAGTAGAACAACAACACCACGCTTACCAATGTCAACGTGACAGGATTCTGATGTAAACTGTAAACCAAACCATTGATTCATTAATATAATGTTTACGCCAAAGTTACTGTCCAAAATTGTGGTGCTGCAGAAGTATACATGTATTCTCTTATAAAAACCTTGAATTTCTTAAATTTACATAATTTCCTTTGTTATTTATCAACCAAAGAAGCTGATTTAAGCGAAACATGTTTTGTTAAATTGAGTTGTTTTTTTAATATCTTTTTATTATATCTTAAACTTAACAATAAACAGTAAATTCAATTTTTTTTTTTAATTTTATGAAAATAATTAATGTGCATCAAAGATGATCTTTCAACAATCATATTGAAATGTTAACAGAAATCATTTGTCTGTAATGCCATTGTAAGCTGTATTATTTTCTGATAATCAAATATTTTCTTTGAGAATTATCTTATGTTTTTGTGACAAAATAATTTAAATTCCATGTTTAAGTAATGGGGTCTTGGTAAGTGTTAAACATTTATGATCCCTAAGCATTGTGTTGAACTTCAAGTAAATAACTTCAGTGGTCGATAAAATTGCTAACAAATTAAACAAAGTGTTAAACAAACTTCTGGAAATAGTTAATTTTAACATGTTTACCTGAACAATCCCTCTATATCAGTCAATGTGAGTTTATTGGGTATTAACTCAAACCGTCCACCAAAAGAGGTCAAATGGTTACAAGTGCACTTTGTGACCTCAAAAGTGGAATTCTGGGAAATAGAACACCCATCTGGAAGCCACACCTCCTTGTCCATATTCCAGTACAGGCATTGGCTCCACCATAGTTTGAGGGTGTAGTTTCTCTGTGTAACCTCCCCTGGGCGGAGCCTCTTAGAATTGTAGGTGGAGTCAACAATACCAATATAGTACATTCCAGTAGCTGTAATGAATATTTAATTACTTATTCAGCAATATGCAATTTCGCCTAATTTATACAAATAAAACTGCCACAGACCTGCAACCTTTCTTCTTTATTTGAATCAAATAAATCAACCATAGAATTAATCATATAAAGTGAACAAGTAAAATTACGTGTCTTATACATTTCACATGGAAACCAAGAATGAAAACTGCTCATATTTGATCAATTAAGATTACTTTTATTCTTGATCAAATAAGTTACAAGCTTCCATAATAAAAAGAAAGAAAAAGATCTTTACAATATCAAGAAACATAGTTCTTGTTAAGACATTCTTTACAATGTACGACAAAAACAAGTTTTTTAATTTCTTGTCTACTCAGATTAATCATTGATCTCAATGAACATCAAAAGAATAGTGACAATCAGGTAATAGTTTATTAGTACCATAAAATAACAATTTACCACTAATAAAAGTCAGGTACATGGGGTAATAAAACAATGTATTTATAACATTAACTGACCATTAAACGTTCCGGCAGGTAAGAAAATGTCCATATTGTCCTCGCCCGCTTCGATCTCATACTTGTGCTGGTAGAAGTCAGGACTTGGTGGTCGAGTGAAACTGAAAAATATAAAAAAATATTCACATATTGAGACTGGTTATTAAATTTCAATTTGTTTTTTTTTATTATTGCATTGCAATGGTCATTTGTTGCTATACTTGAATAATCAAACAGTTGAAACTGTTAAAAGGGACTCCATTGAAGTTATTGTGACATGACAGGACTGGAAATATTTTTCTGAGATTTGTGTATCAATTGTGATAGGTCTAGACCAGGACAAACAGCTTGTGTGCAAACTTTTCAGGTTATTTTCTCACCCCATTTTTCACTAATAATCATTTGTATTATGTAAGCTTAATGACCCACTCAATTCTAGCTAAAAATCGCACAAAAATCAGCTTTCAATTTAATTCTGAGTACATTTCTTTGTTATCCTCTGCAGATTTTTCCATTTTAAGTAAGACACTTGATATATGTAAGTTTTTCAAATTTTATGTTTTTCCACATTTGGACCTCAATAGAGGTCCTTTAAACCTAATCATGGTACTGTTCAAGATCATTATAATTTCCGACCTTTTTATCAAGAACCTCATCCTGAAGAATATGTGCACTACCTTGAACCTGATCCTGTTCATATTTTGAGGGATTCTGGTATTGAAATAATTGTATAGCAAATTATAATAGACCCTAGTCAGACTGTACAAATGGTAAGGCTGCCCAGGTTCTATATTAGTAGGTTTACATAAGCTATTATTGCCGCAAACAGATCTAGGGCTTAAAGTCTAATTCATTGGCCCCAAAATGACAAATATTTTCACTCTATTAACAAGTCATTTCTTGGCTTTGGCTTTTTTTCCCAATCCAATGACCATATCTATGTCCAATTGTTTTGCTGTAAATGTTCAGTAAATTTCACTCCTTTGCTATTATTCTTTACCTTGGAGCAATCTTGAATGTTAAACCAACTTCTTATGATAATCCATGCTGCATCAACTATAGTAACTGCTCCATGTGTTTATTTGCATATAATGTTGCTTTTTCACATTTGCATATAATGTTGTTTTTTGTCACATTAGCATATAATGTTGTTTTTTGTCGCATTAGCATACAATGTTGTTTTTTCGCCAATCTGATGTTTTAAGGCATACAGACACACTTGAAACTTTGCTCACCTCTTACAAAACCAAGGTCTGAGCTAAAGATTCAAGCGCATCCACACAACCTCATTGCAACTTCTCCTCATTCTATACCATGGAGTTCTATTTCTTCTGAAACATATCTCAACAAACTTCAACATTCCACTTAAACCATGTTTTGAAAATACTAAAAATTCTTAGGGTATTTCAGATAGATATACTTTCTATCTACATTAGTACATATGATATATATGCCATCATGTTCATGCTGTCCCTGCAAATAGAATTTCCCCTACACCTTCCAGCTCATAAATTTGTAAGAGCCTTTCCTATCCATGTTTTACTTTATTTGTAAAACACAGTCCATTTCATGGTTTATGAATAATATATTTTTTCATCTTCTCTGTTTTCCTCTTAAAGCCAAAGCTTTTTACTATTTCAGTTCCTATCCTTTACATCCCATATTACTTTTCAATTTTCTTCTCTTTTCTTCCTATTTTTTTCCATTCTGACATGACATAATACAATTGAATTTTTCTCTAGATTCCTGCAACAAGATGTCATTTCTAAAGCTTAAATCCCTTTTTTTTCAACCATACATTTTCATTTTTGCTCTACAGTTGTAGAATTTTCATCCAATTCCATAAAAAAAACTCCAAAATTTCCTATAATCCAATATCTTTGTTATTCTACTGCAAGAAAATCTAAATCTTTGTTTTCCAAAGCTACAGTAATCCAGAAGTGAACTTGAATCTTGTCTTTTTTAAAAAATTGTTGCAGAGGTCCTCAGGACTTTTACATTAACCCAAGGTTGTAATATGCAAGAACCATCTTCAATCTTAGTTTTGCGGGGTGCATACAGTACCCTTATAGTATTACAATAAAATCAAGCTTTTTACCTTTTGAATGCATTTAAGCTTGTTCTTATGTTGGAAAAAAATAGTTCCAATGCTTATTTCCACGATGAACAATTTACAAGTTCTATAACCCCTCTCAAAGTTGCAGTAATTAAACCTTAATTTTCAAACACCAAAAGTCAATAATGCAGTTACTAACAATTCATGTCCAATTTTGGTTAAAGTAGGTTTTCTGACTTAATTTTGCATCAGTCTTCAATATCTATTTTGACACTCAATGTTGCAGCAGCAATTATCAAATCAAAACCATCTTTCACCTTTATCATCCTCCTCCTCCTCTTCCTACATGTTGCTGTAGTCAACAAAGCCGACACCTGAAACTTTGCTCACCTGCTTATTCTCAGGCTTGAGACAAAATCTTAGGCTCAGCCTTGATAGACTTTATTCAAACAACCAACAGTTCAATATCGGCCCAGCCTCAATTTATTGACTCTGCTCTTCATTTGCAAACAGTTAAAATAATTTCTTTCACATGTAAGATCCAGAAAAGATAACTGTCTAACAAAATTCATTGTACTGAATTCAATTCTGCTTACATCTTATAAGCAATTACTTTCCTCTCCTGTCACAAAGTGTTTTAAAGATGTACCACTATTATACAAGTATAACAGAGCTCATTGTCTAAACTGTATGCAGTTTAAGTGTTTAATGTCCTTTTCTATTATATACACATAATCAAGTTGAGATTCAAAACCTGATAGAAACTTCCATACATACAACAAAAATTCTTCCTAAAAGTCCCTCTTCCCAAGTTTTCCTCTTTATCTAATCCTTTATGTATAGATACCAGCATAGTTCTCTCCATAAATAATTAACTAACTTGTCACTTTAAACTCTTTCCTAGTAAACTTTTTTTCCATATCATATGTTGCTCCTGTTGCTTTATCCTAGTATACAAGAAACACTTAAAATTTCCAATGTTAACATGATGATTTATTGTCAGATCATATAAGGTACATTACAACTTTCAATAATATTCATCTCCAGATGTAAATCATCACAAGTGTGACACCTGAAACTTTGCTCACCTAGAAATTACACAGGCTTGAGACAAAATAACAGGCACACCACACTCATGACTACCAACCAAAGGTGCCAGTATTCCTCCAAAATTACAGGCACACCACACTCATGCCTTCTAACCAAAGGTGCCAGTATTCCTTCAAAATAACTGGTTCACTACACTCATGACTTCCAACCAAAGGTGCCAGTATTCCTCCAAAATAACTGGTTCACTACACTCATGACTTCCAACCAAAGGTGCCAGTATTCCTCCAAAATAACTGGTTCACTACACTCATGACTTTCAACCAAAGGTGCCAGTATTCCTCCAAATTAACAGGCAACACACACAATGCCTATGTTCTAGTAATCCTCCAAAATAACTGGTTCACTACATCCATACCCTTTAGCTTTATGTCCCAGTATTCCTTCATAACATTCATAAATTCAAGCCATATGTCCCAGTATTCATTCAAAATAACTGGTTCACTATACTCATAACTTCAAGCCATATGTCCCAGTATTCATTCAAAAACTGGTTCACTATACTCATAACTTCAAGCCATATGTCCCAGTATTCATTCAAAATAACTGGTTCACTATACTCATAACTTCAAGCCATATGTCCCGGTATTCCTTCAAAATAACTGGTTCACTATACTCATAACTTCAAGCCATATGTCCCAGTATTCATTCAAAACAACTGGTTCACTATACTCATAACTTCAAGCCATATGTCCCGGTATTCCTTCAAAATGACTGGTTCACTATACTCATAACTTCAAGCCATATGTCCCGGTATTCCTTCAAAATAACTGGTTCACTATACTCATAACTTCAAGCCATATGTCCCGGTATTCCTTCAAAATAACTGGTTCACTATACTCATAACTTCAAGCCATATGTCCCGGTATTCCTTCAAAATGACTGGTTCACTATACTCATAACTTCAAGCCATATGTCCTGGTATTCCTCCACAATAACTGGTTCACTATACTCATAACTTCAAGCCATATGTCCCGGTATTCCTCCACAATAACTGGTTCACTATACTCATAACTTCAAGCCATATGTCCTGGTATTCCTCCACAATAACTGGTTCACTATACTCATAACTTCAAGCCATATGTCCCGGTATTCCTCCACAATAACTGGTTCACTATACTAATAACTTCAAGCCATATGTCCTGGTATTCCTCCTTAATAACAGAATATTCCTCCTAAATAATTGGTTCACTTCATTTATGACTTCTAGCCATATATCCAAAAATTCCTCCATACTATTATGAAACTTTTAGAGTTTTAGATTTTTATAAATAAATGTTATTCCCAGTAGACCCATAAGATTACTCTCAAAAGCCATGCCTTTTGCCATACAGGTGTCATATCAAAAAGGGAAATACTCCAAAGTGCTAAACATATCTAAAAACATTTACCCATAGTCAAAACAACTGAAAAATTATTTATTTACTTGATGCCCCATTTTTTGCTTAAACAGGTCAGAAAGAGTAACAAAGGAGGCTTGATGACTGGCTCTAAATCGAACTTTAGTGTTCAACATTGAGCAAGTCTGTCTGAAGAATACTACTGTAAAGAAGGCTGCCATCTTTTCAAAGATTTTTAGCTTAATTTACTTTCGCCTTCATTTGTGGCATTTCAATAGGGCTATATTCTGCAGTCTCATCCTAGATAAATTTCCCTCAGTGATTTAATGTTAAAATTAAAACCCAGCATTATAATTGGAGAACGATGCGTTTTTTGCCGCCGAGTCTTGAATGCGCAAAACAAACAGTTGTTTACGATCACTGGTTTTCCTAGCTACAATAAATTCTGATTGCATTTCAATGAAATTCAATATTTCTACTTCAAGAAAGATGTAAAGCAAAGGAATCTTGCATGAACAATTTCTCTGAATAGGAAAAATCGGCACAAAAAGCTCGATTTGGTTAAAATGTACAAAGTACAGAAGCTATATATAATCAAATGCATTACAGTTATTGAACTTATAATCTATACTTATTTTTGATGCGTTCAAAGAGGAAGCTTTTATTCTGGATAGGGGAGAAGATTTCATACAAATGTTATCCTAGAGCCACAGAGTCTGTTGTTAAATGATTTTTATATTAAAAGCTTTTTCATAAAAAAATAAAAAAAATTCAATATAGATATGTTTTTTTCCCCAACACAAATACAAGACTACAGTAAAAATTGATCTTAACATGGGAGTCCTTTTGCTATATTGAATTTATCAAATGAGTAGGAAAATCATAATAATGATTGAATACTCCCATTTTAGTATTTCTTTCATACATTTTTTTATTGTTATTAAATGAAATAAATGTTATTACTACATGTATTACTATTATTATTAAATGAAAATTTTTTTATCATTATTATTAAATGAAAGAAACTTTATCATCATTATTAAATGACAGACACTATAATAATCATTAAATGAAAGAAACATCTTTTCGCTAAATTTTTGTTACAGATTTCTTGTTACTCACAAGGACTGAGGGCTTTTACTTACAGGGACTGCACAGAGGTTGTTTTTTTGAGACCATCTTAATGCCCTCCAGTCTATGACTCATTCTTTTGATAAAATAACAAGCAATTCCAAGGTTTTTTTGGACATGATAGGTCTTGAAACTTCTTTTTTTTTTCAAAATTTTCTTTCTTTTTTTCTTTTTTTTCTTCAAAATTTTCAATGTTGATTACTACCAACTGTCAATTTATAATGCCGGTATATTTAATTGCACAAGTCCAATCTTAACTTCTAACAACATTAAATTCTTCGAAAGCTAGCAGTGCATCTATGCAGTCTGACCCAGAATGTTGGCTTGGCTGCTTAATTCTAAACCCCTAACTCTGTTTGGGTCAAATATGATCTAATAAAATATCTTTCTCAAACAACTATAACAATCTTCACAAAGTCATGACATGGTATATTTGCTTATCGTCATTACTGACCTTTTTATGCCACATAAAATACATGTATCTAATACATTTTTTTTGAAGTTATAAGACCATTTTCCTATTTTTAGTAACACTGACCTTGACTCTTGGGTTCCAAAAGCAAAACCGAGTGATATCTTCCAATTAATTTGCTATATATTATTAGTTATAAAGATTGTTGACAGGTTATATGGCCCTATATAAACGGCTGTTTGTAATATAACCCGAGCCGCTAGGCGAGGGCTATATTGCAAACAGCCGTTTATATACGGCCATATAACCTATCAACAATCTTTATAACGAATTTATAATACAGCAAACATCATTTTTTAGAGAAAAAAGTAAGATTTCTTCATGAGTCGACAACAGCCGTGTATATAAAACTATATAAACGTCACGATTATCCAATGAAAAGCGACGTGCAGTATTATAATATGTTTGATTACAATATCTCATTCTTAATTATACATGTAAGTTTATTTTTTTAGTCTCTCATAAGTTTACTGAATATACATGACGTTTTCATAGATTCCAAGCAAAATCTTTTTTTTTTAAAGCATTAAAGCATACAGAGCTTGAAAGTTATGTTTAGATACAAAAAGCAATCCCTTTCCCTTCAGAAGCTAAGATATACAACTTCAATCGTTATGGTGAAAATCATAAATCTGTAATCCGAGAATCATCAAGCAGAATATTTTGGCAGATCAAACACTGAATACTGTATGTAACATTTGAAATTCATTTTGAAATTTCCCTATCTTTTTGAAATAGATGATTTCCAGGCTCGTGTAATGTTACATGTAATGCATTTATATACACCCACCAGTAGACAAAAAGAACATTAGAGAAATTTATAGCATTGAGGGAAACACAGAAATCAAACAGAACAAGAAATTAATGTTAATGGATGTAAACCAAACTGAAAATTTCCTCATTTCTTCATTTGCTAGGATTGAGGGCAACATTGTCAAAGTGTGTAAGTTTTCAAGACAGTTCATCCAAGACAGTGGCATTTTATCTTTGCACTTTCTTAGCCCTCTGTCAGAAATTTAGGTCCTAAATATTATAACTAACAAACTAGAGAAGGCTCAAACTTACCTTAGTAAGACTGTGATTGGAAACAGTCTGCCTTCCTTAAGAGATGTAAAGTCAATGAGGAAATGTAAGGCGTGTTGTAAGTCGATAGTTGTTATGTTGAACTGGTGTACATTCATAGACCATTTGTTCAAAACCAAATCCTCAAACACTACAGTCTGAAATTAAAATAAAAACAACCTTCATACATACAATTACTCACAGTGGTTCAGCATAATAGCATTATAAGCAATAGCTTAAATTTCTTATTCAAGCTATATTTGGAAACAATACCTGAAACTTAGATTAAGGCTGTCCTAAATCTATAATGGTGGGTTAGGGCCATGCATTCCATTAGAAGCCATGAACAAAATTCTCATAATAATATGAATTCCTGATATTTCAAAGTTTGCAAGTGAACTTGAAATCAAATACGAATCTTTGGCTCCATCTGTTTGATAATTTTTCATTAAAAGATTACTATTTTTAACCCGCAAAATAAATCATCTCGTTCCATTTTGTAGCACCTCTTAACCAGACAATCATCAGCCGGTGTAATTCGGTCAAGTGAAGCCCGCCAATTGTCCTAAATACTATAGACCTCTCTTCAATGACTCACGGGACAGCGGACGAAAAAAAAAAAAGAATTCTTTATGGACAAGAATCTGGCAAGTGTTTTCTTGGACTGTCATACAAAACGCAGCACGACTGATTGCATCAATATATTTTCATTAGTATGTCCCTCAATATTTCAGGACGAGATTCTGCTGGTCGTTTCTGACATGTGCTTTATTTGTATCATCATTCCAAGTCATGTGATCAATATCATCGCGCAGAGACAATTTTCCTGAGTAATCTCTTGAATAAAGAAATGTTTGGCAAGTCCCGGATGCTCTAATCACTCTCTGTAAAACACGGGAACCGTCATTGCAGACTGGTCCAAGGAATAATATTTTATCTGTGTTCATATGGTAGCTTAGAGATAAAATGATTGAGTACCAATCTTACTGTTATGACCTATAAGATTCATCAAGCAAGTGTTGACATCTACTCTCAAAACATGCAATCATCTACACCTTAATTTCTTAACTTCCAATATTCCTACATAACACCACTATATCTGTATAGTAAGGCCTGCTCTGATTAGACTTTGTAAATGTCCATTGTTATTGTAAGGGTTTTTATTAACAAAAAGCAGAAACTTTAGAAGCCACGGTAATAGAATCTAGTCAGGCTACAAGATAAAGAAAAAAAGGAATCCACAAGTAACACCCAAAAATGGCATATTTAATAATGTTGCAGGCTCAGTTTGATTGAGCCTGTTCATGGACAGTACTGGTTATTGCAAGATAATAAAAGTCCACACGAACTTGCACTGGTTTATACAGACAATTAAAGATGTAAATGGTGAAAATTTGGAAATTAGAAACATTCGCAGAGCTATTAATGTTTCAGCAGAGATGTTCTTTCTCAAAAGTAACCCATTTTTTTGGATTGTCAAATGACCATCATACTTTTTAAGGCATTCACATAGATTAAATTTATTCAAATGGGGAAAATGGTAAGGTAGAGGGACAAGGAGAGAGAGCTTTAACACTAGTTTGTTTATTTAAAATGTTTCTTTCATCAACTTATTGGCATAACCTTTTTATTAAACTATTGAATATGTAAAATGTGATATCCAGATTTTGTTTGTAAATTTTCATGCAGCTAAAATATATGTGAATATAATGTATTGTAGATGATGTACTTTGTACAAGTCTTAATAAAATTTCTGTTCTGTTCTGTTCTTTAAGAATGATGTTTTTTGATGGATTGCAACAGTATGAGGTCAGACAATGATATTTCAAAATCAATTTGACAATGTACTGTAAGAAGTTTTACAATTATTATATTGAAAACAGGAACTGCCACCCTACAGTTTGATCAATCACAATGATGAAACCTGGGGAAATTCCAGAGAACTTCACTGAAAACAATACTACATGTAGGTGAAACAATCTTGTAAACAAAACTTGGACATTAAAATGAAGAACCAAAGCTGTAGAATTAGAACAGATGAAATTAAAACCTAGGAAACCAGTATAATTAAGACAATCTAAAACTAACAAGGAACCAGAATTCGGGAACCAATACTGATGGATGAAAAAAATGGGAAACAAATCTGGGGAACCAATATTACACCATAAGATCCAAGACCTGGGGAACCAAAACTTATGGAACCAATATTATAAGAAACAAAATATATTGGAACCAATTTAAATACTGTAAGATAGAAAACATAGGGGAACCAATTTTTCTTATTTTCTGATCATAAATTGGATGAAAAAAGACCATCTCAATTTTATCTAACATATCCGTTTTCAAGCAAGAGAAGTCTGGAAAATGTCATCACTTACTTTATTAGGCACAAACAGACAATTTATGTCTAGAGCAACATAAAAAAGAGCCCTTTAAAGGAAGTGCTGATTTCATTATGGGGGATATAAAACAAATGTCTTAAGACTTCTATATTACCAAAGATATAAAAACAGGAACATATACATGGCCACAAATGTCTCTTGAAACTAGAAACATTGCCATTCTGTCTAGCTCATTAAAAAACATACTTCCAGTATACACTTTGGCATAAAAAAAAATACAGACTGAGGACCAGTCTAAGAAAAAGAATCTCAGCCATTGGTCAATTAAGGAATATATCTAAAAATAGTAACCAATCAAAAATCTGATTTTGCAGACTGGTATAATACCTCAAATTGTAATTCAATGTTCAATTTAACGTTTCATCTCATTGTGTAAACCTTTTCTTGTATCAGGAGATGTCATTTCAGTATTTTTTGTTTTCTTGTGTTATTGCAAGATCTTAAATAACAAAAAAAATGACAAACTTAAGTGAATTGCATAAAACATAACTTGTCATTTTTGTGCAATAACCGGCTAATTCCTGTTAAATTTAATAGGAGTAACCCGCTACTGCACTAAGGTAGTGAAATGGTAAATGTCAAATTTCCTCACAATCTCTCAAAAAGTGAACCAACAAATATGAATAGGTCAAATATTCACTCTTGCAAAGGGAGATTGTTCAGCCCTACTCTGTTTAAGGGAAAATTGCTGACTCAGCGTTTACAGTCTCCCATGTAAAATAACATATCTTTTTTAATTTTTTTCACTTATTTGCCTGCGACTCAGCACAAACACCAAAACTTTAATAAAAAGCCAAAATAACGCAGACATAAACATTTACTGAATAATATACTGGACAAGTTTTAACACTAAATGGTCATTTTACAACATTTTCTGTAGTTAACAAGTCTACACTGCAGACTCATAACCATAAAAACTTCAAACTTTGCCGCCTTTAAACGAGATTTTTTGCAATAACACACTCTAACAGGAATCTGTCCAAGGGCTTCCTGCTAAATCATCCAATTTTTTTTCAAATTTAGGCCTCTAGACAGAAGATTAAAAATCCCTGTGAAGGGAATACATATAAGTAGTTAACAAGACTTAGTGTGCTCAAAAGTGCTTATATATACAGTTTACTCCTTGAAAAGTTAATACTCAAGCTTAGGAAAAAGTCCGGAATGTTGTCATTTTAATATGCCATTCCCACAGACATAATGCCAGCACATGGAGAGTTCAATCATCAATTTTCTATTTTTAGACAAAAGCCATATTAAGACAAGAGCTATTATTATGGTTGAAATGTACATCTTAAAGTTTAGCTTGCTGGCAAAAACAGATTCTTCCAAAGCGATCAGTGCAGACCAAGTCTAGCTGCCATATTTGTGTTGTCTGTTCGTGGTCTGCACTGTTTGCTTTTAAGTCAGTTAATATTTTTGAAAATTTCCCTAAAAATCATGTATGGTTTTGCCCAAATTGAAATATTTTCATTTAATTGATTGGGTTTTATGTCAGACCAACACTAACTGTCAACTTTCCAACTTTACTGATGGAGGAAGACGTCAGGGTGCAGTTCCGTGCATTATTTCAGGCACAAGCAGGCATCGGGTAGAACCATCAGTAAGCTAGCTTGAAAACCCCCTTTAGATGAAAGAATCCAAAGTCCCTGGAAGAAAACAAACCCATAGTGGTGAGGAGCAAGTGGTTTGAAGTCAACCTCACGACCATAAACACCCTGACATTTCAATTCTGATATATTCTTAAACCACTTTAACTACTAATACACTATCCCTAGTCCAAAGCATGCCCATGTCCATTACATCAATTCAGTAAAGATACTGCTCCTACTATGATTAATGGACTGAAATTCATGGCATTGAATGTATATTATATAAAATCAGCAAGGGTAAAAGTGTTAAGTCAATCCTGTATCATACATGTATATATATATAGACGAAATGAGCCGCATCACGACAAATCTCTCAAAAAGTGAACCAACAAATATGAATAGGTCAAATATTCACTCTTGCAAAGGGAGATAATGAAAATGTACATGTTCAGCCCTACTCTGTTTAAGGGAAAATTGCTGACTCAGCGTTTACAGTCTCCCATGTAAAATAACATATCTTTTTTTATTTTTTTCACTTATTTGCCTGCGACTCAGCACTAACACCAAAACTTTAATAAAAAGCCAAAATAACACAGACATAAACATTGACTGAATAATATACTGGACAAGTTTTAACACTAAATGGTCATTTTACAACATTTTCTGTAGTTAACAAGTCTACACTGCAGACTCATAACCATAAAAACTTCAAACTTTGCCGCCTTTAAACGAGATTTTTTGCAATAACACACTCTAACAGGAATCTGTCCAAGGGCTTCCTGCTAAATCATCCAATTTTTTTTCAAATTTAGGCCTCTAGACAGAAGATTAAAAATCCCTGTGAAGGAATACATATAAGTAGTTAACAAGACTTAGTGTGCTCAAAAGTGCTTATATATACAGTTTACCCCTTGAAAAGTTAATACTCAAGCCTAGGAAAAAGTTCGGAATGTTGTCATTTTAATACGCCATTCCCACAGACATAATGCCAGCACATGGAGAGTTCAATCACCAATTTCTATTTTTAGACAAAAGCCATATTAAGACAAGAGCTATTATTATGGTTGAAAAGTACATCTTAAAGTTTAGCTTGCTGGCAAAAACAGATTTCTTCCAAAGCGATCAGTGCAGACCAAGTCTAGCTGCCATATTTGTGCCCTCTGTTTCTGGTCTGCACTGTTTGCTTTTCAATCAGTTAATATTTTTTTAAATTTCCCTAAAAATCATGTATGGTTTTGCCCAAATTGAAATATTTTTTCATTTAATTGATTGGGTTTTATGTCAGACCAACACTAACTGTCAAACTTTCCAACTTTACTGATGGAGGAAGACGTCAGGGTGCAGTTCCGTGCATTATTTCAGGCACAAGCAGGCATCGGGTAGAACCATCAGTAAGCTAGCTTGAAAAACCCCCTTTAGATGAAAGAATCCAAAGTCCCTGGAAGAAAACAAACCCATAGTGGTGAGGAGCAAGTGGTTTGAAGTCAACCTCACGACCATAAACACCCTGACATTTCAATTCTGATATTCTTAAACCACTTTAACTACTAATACACTATCCCTAGTCCAAAGCATGCCCATGTCCATTACATCAATTCAGTAAAGATACTGCTCCTACTAATGATTAATGGACTGTTATAAATTCATGGCATTGAATGTATATTATATAAAATCAGCAAGGGTAAAAGTGTTAAGTCAATCCTGTATCATACATGTATATATATATAGACGAAATGAGCCGCATCACGACAAAACCAACATAGAGGGTTTGCGACCAGCATGGATCCAGACCAGCCTGCGCATCTGCACAGTCTGATCAGGATCAATGCTGTTTGCTTACAAACCCTATTACAAGTAGAGAAACTCATAGCGAACAGCATGGATCCTGATCAGACTGCACGGATGCGTAGGCTGGTCTGGATCCATGCTGGTAGCAAACCCATTATGTTGGTTTTGTCGTGACGCGGCTCAAATATTATCTGAGATTTTCCCATTCTCTCATTGTGTCTTTGGAGACTACATTAACTTCCTACTGAGATACTATAATAGGACACAAAGTCTCAACATCTATAAATAGAGCTCGTTTCTGAACAGTCAAACAATGATCGCATTAAATGCACTTCTGTAATTCTGAATAAAGACAGAATGTCATTATCTTACATGCAATATGAGTTATGGAATGTTGAAATTGAACGGTAAAAATAAAGTTCATATATCTTAATGAAGCTAAGACTTTTCCATCATAATCAATCTGGATCAAAACCCAGTCACCATATTAAGGGGAAAATGTTGAAATAAGTACTGAAAGAATAGGGAACAGTGCAGACCATGATCCGACAGAACTGATTAGTTGTGCTAATCTTGTTGTGCACTTATAAAACTTATGAAATAAAGATCGGACACTAACATTCATTCTGTCAATATATCTTACCTTTGGTGGCTTGTTTGGAAGTTGTATTTGTATTTCATTGCCTGGTGGTAGATCCACAACGTGCAACAACTTCCCCTCACAGTCATACACATTCAGTCCTGCTACCAAACTTTGTATCTGAAAGTATACAGAATATAAACATTTAGTATTCAGAAAGAAAATAGTGAAAAGGTTCAGTAACTCTCAGAACAACAGCAGAAATGATAATGTGTCTATTCAAGCAAACCATTTTCAAAGCAAGAAAACATAGTAGGGGATCATACATAAAGTATTCTACAATACAGTAAGTTTTCAAAGAATAAATTATATTATGATGTCATGAATATGATGTCATATCACCTAATCAAATGATGTCAAAATATATACAAAATAAACCCTTCCCCCACTTCCCCTAACCCCCACCTCCATTTCTCTACCCATAAAATTCAACACACATTTCTTCAAGGACAATTTTCAATTCACAACGCCATCTAAATTGAAAAACGGGAAATACAGAGTTATTTCAGAAACTTGATCAATTTAGAGGAATATCAATTTTATCAGAATTGTTACATAAACCTATTCGCCTACTGGTGAATAAAACTGATGAATTAAAACAGAACAAGGTGCCAATAACGTATCACCATACCTTCTCTTTTCTAAATTGTAATCTCCTGCTATCTGAGTCAAAAATGCAATTCTACAAAAGCTACTGCAGCACGATATATCAATATTCCCTTAATGAAACCTGTTCGATATTCCAAGCAATTAAAAGCCCCGCACCTCTCCGTACACTATAAATGTTTTTCCAGCAATTAAAACATTGCAGAAAATCAATTAACGAGCCCTGGGAATACCTCCCCCACATATGGTATGGCGTTTCCTCTCGCTCACTTTTCAAATGGAAAACGGATTTTCAAATTTTGCTGAGTAACGTTAGAATAATATTAAAATAACATGTGTCGGCCCCAAGGATCATCTTCGGAAACGGGAAACGAACAAAAAAAATGATTAATAAAGCTCAATAACAAAATGTCTACTAGATGTAAACGTATTTAATAAATGTGAAATAATATCGCAGACAGAAAATTTTATTATTTTGAAATCAGAGTGAACAATGTTACACGAGAAGATTAATATTTGAAGACTGAAAAGTAATTATTTTATGAAAATGTTGATTAAAACGGTTTCTATTGCTGTAGAAAGTGTTTATTCATACTGGTTAAAAATACACGTAATATACTTCAATTACATGTGCATTCAGTTTCTTTACCCTAATCGATACAAATTGTTACCTTGGAGCAGTAATGGGTTAAGTTCTTCTAAATTCAATAGGTTTTAACCAGTTATTGCACTTAGATGAATAAACCATATGGTTGAGCTTGCACTTTCATTTTTACGAAAGCTTAACTTTCAAGGTATGAAAATTTCAGATTAATGTGAAGGGCCATTCCCTTAAATTGGGGTAAAACAACATGTACTTCTTGCAATAATGGAAGAAAAAAAAAAGAAAATAAATTTAATTTTGGTGTAAAATTAACAAAATTTTAAAGAATTTTCTTGGGAGGCAGAATTCTGTAGCAAACTTATTATTATATTTCAGCATTGTCTTTACGAAAAACTTAATTTTTCATCTAGGGTTCCTTCAATAAATTAAACACCTTCAATAAATTACCCAATTCTTGGGAGATATGTGGTCTTCAATGACATAAGGTTTTATTGTAGTATTGTTGTTCAAGTATGAAAATAAAAAATATTGGCACTTAAAATAACAAGCTCTTCCATGTGACCAATTCTCGGAGAAAGGTGGGTGGGGGAATGGCCGGTGTGCATTTGGCAGAGAAATTACTCTACATAAAACAAGGCCTTAAAATAACAAGCTGTTCCATATGATCAACTCTCCAAGAAAGGTGGGTGGGGGGTGGCCGTTGTCCATTTAGAAAAGAAATTAATCTTCTTAAAACAAGGCCAAAAAGAAATTTTTTTTGTTCAACAATACATTTGTCACTTAACCATGGTAATAAGGCGACAGGTTGTTGTACAAAACGCTCTCCTTGCAACTACAGACAGCCAGTAGAACACCCAACAATTTGATAGACGAGTATTAGCATAAATCAGAGAAAGTTCTCTGCGAAATTCTCATTTGCATAATGCATTGGGAAAATGCTTGCTTATTCACGTGAACTGTCACTCTAATTAAACGAGTTTTATGTCTTGTTCCAAGACGAACTTGTCAATTTGGCACAATGCAGACTCAGCCATGTTAAGCTGAATACCATTATCAAATCAATTACGATAATAATAAATATTTACCAGTTACTCCCAAAGCTACCTAGACTTGTTCCCCTTGAATATTTTTTTCCTACTATCTTTTTTTTAAATCAAATATTGTGTTTTGAACATTCGATTTTGACAAGGTTTTTCCATCTTCATGAATAATTTCAGCATATACTTCATTAAGATACTTTGAAATAATAACATTGACACTAAAAAATTTAGAAAATGGACCTAAGAATTTCTCCTTTGTGGCTTATGGGTGAGCTATCAAAATTGTAGCCACAGTTTATCTCTACGTGATCATAAAAGGCGACTAAATGAGTCCGAATAACTGGAGTCTATGCATCTCTCAGCATTAGCACTGGTGAGGTGATTTTAACTCCTGATGTTCCTTTAAGTTTGTTACACCCAAGGTTAGCCAAAATCATATTTCCTGTTTTGGTGTTGTTTGACATAAATTGTGTTGGTGCACTATAAAACCAAACAAAATGTAAGAATTTCTTTAGTTTTAGCTCTGCCATTTAAGTTTAACATTTTTTCACTATCAAAATACTAACTAAACTATCAACAGATTGGTCAAATGTATAAATTCTGTAAAAACAAAAAAAAACAACAAAAAATCACCTAAACAATCGAAGATGTCAACCTAACCATGTACTTCAAAACTTAGTTTAGTTCATTAAAGACCAAGCCAAGCACAAGAGATTGTCCTGATCAAACATCCATGTCATCAATTACAAAACGTTCATATCCAATAATTTCAATGAATACACATCCCATACAACTAACATAACAAAATATTCCAAACAAATAGTTTTTTAAATGTCTGGACAAAAAACCAGTCTTGGGATATCATTATATCCCGTGGTAACGAAAGAATAAAAAGAAATTCCATAGTCATCTTAAGTATCCTACTATCCCATGTAAACAACATTAAAACGCATAATGAGACTAGGGAATTGCCAATTGTCTTAAAGTTTCTTCGAGTTCCACTGATACCAGATGGAAATTAACAGAAATGCTTTTATAGCAGATATAAAATATCTATAAATGTCCCATCGACGGTTTATGAAATTTCCAGAATTCCAGGAGAAAATATGCACAATACCGTTGACAGTATAAAACAACGACCTTAATTATTCCACATTAGGAAAAAATATCTAAATTGGGAAAAAAAATAACGAGAGGTATCGAGTCAATTAAATTTCAGTATAATTGGCATCCCTGTATTTTATCTGTCACGTTACGCGGGGAGAAAGAATCGATCAAGGTCGTTAATTAACGATATCGATGATTACTTCCACGTTCTATTAGATAAACATCCATAGATTCCGGTGCATACTTTCCACAAACCTGTCATTCGTACAATACAGACGGCACTGATAGAGCGGCATAAACAGAATTTGATGTAAATTAAAACCTGATTGGACAGTTGACGTGTCAATTATCAACAAGCTGTTTCATCGTTCTCTTTTCACTAGACAACGTTTCTATTGCAGAAATTACCTAATATTTCTTTAATTTGCTGCAATCGACCACTTTCACTTGTGTTGGCCAAATTTAATTCTTGTTTTTTGAATTGGCATCAATCACCTGAATTTTCAAATTTGCTACAATCAATAGTGTGATGGCATAGCTGAGTGGTTAGCATGTCAGGCTAGAAATCTAAGGATCGCTATCCATGCAAGTTCAAACCCTGTCAGGGGCAATCCGTAGTTTCAGAGTTTGTCCATAAGCTATAAGCTTCCTTTACAATCAAACTTAAAATAAATTCTGCATAAACCAACAGTGCTTTTTTAAAATTTGCTACATTTTCAAGTTATAAAATGCTGAGTTGGCTGGTTTTTTGTTTGATTCGAAAAAAAAAGACAGGAAAATATCAATATAAGGAAAAGTACAATTTTCAACTATTTACATGTTTTTGTACAAATCTTTAAATCAAATTCATATAATGCAAAACTGAAAGATCAATGAACTATATTTTTTTCTTATGGAAATAAACCCATTGTTTAATACTAAGGAAGATATTTGTATCTAAATTTGACATGACAAAAAGGCAAAGAGCACTTTTAACTTCCAGGCAACAAGTACTTCCTCTTTCATTTCCTTCAACTTTGTAGTTCATTCCACTTAAGTTATAAATTTCTATATTGTGTTTGTTTTTATTTCATTAATATACATGTACATACAATAAATTAATGATTGCATTATAGAAACCAATATGGGTGACCGCTTCAGGAAATTTATTTTTATGACTTTAGTTTATTTTTATGACTTTAGAAGAAAATGCAAAAAATGCCCTAAAACTTGTTGCTAACCTTTTTACACTATGTTTCTGTCTATAATTATAAAATAACAGATCTCAACTTGAACACATTCTTTTTGTGTGGGGAGTACAATAAACAATTGAATGTTTTTTTGTTTTTTTACAAAAACATTTTTTTTTTTTTGCAAAAATTGTAAAATATTTTTTAACAACATGTCACTGCCCATACTGTTACTCATGTTACGCTTTTATCAGTAAATAAAACATGGAAATGCCAGAAATAGTATCCCTATGCACTCAAGTTGCATTTATACCCTGAACGCGTAGCAGTATTAACACGGTACCACCTTGTACGAGGGTAAGATAAAATCTTGCGATACGAGAGGAAAATATTCAATTATTTAATTAACAAACATACAGATAGTTCTGCTTAGAAGTCACGAGATCAAAGTTCTTTATCATGAATTACTATTATATGACCTTGTGTACATGTTACAAGGTCTCGATTTGTTACACGATCAACATGTACACATTTCTGAAACGTGATCGAAAACACAATATCACTATTCCAACAGGATATAGTTATGACTGCATG